ATGATATGTGAGAATGGATGAGGGAATTGTATATCATCTTACGATTCGTGATGGACAGATAGTCCGATATTCGACCAAGTACTCCAATTGCTGGTGTAACCTTTTTACATATATGCAAGATGTGCATATCCCAAGTAAGTTTTGAATCGACAAAGAGTCCCAAGTATTTGATGCAGTCTGCACGAGTCAATGGGAGACCCTGGAAGTTTATCGTGAAGTCAGGCCAGGACTCAAACTTTGATATTACCATATATAGCTTGATTTTTTCACATTTAAACTAAGTTTGTGGTAACAGAGCCAATCGCTTATTTTCTGTAAGTCTTCTTCAATGATTTTTAAGTTAGCAGGGTCCTTGTCAAAATAAGTGATGAAAGTATCATCTGCATATAAACTGAGAGAGCCCTGAAGAGGTATGTATGACAGTGAGTTCATGTAGACTAGGAAGAGTGTGGGTCCCAGAATTGAGCCTTGGGGCACTCCGTGTACAATGTTTTCCATTTTACTTCTGTTACTTTCACATTCAACATACTGTAGTCTGCCCGACAGATAGTGCCTAAACCATAGTAGTGCTGCACCTCCAATACCAGTTTTTTCAAGCACCTCTACGAGAATTTTGTGATTTACTGTGTCAAAAGCTTTTCTTAAGTCCAGCGAGACAAGTACACACTTATATCTCTTATCAACCTTTTCATAATTATTTGTAATTAGGTCTGTAGTTGCTGAGGAGGTACTGCAGTGTTTTCTGAATCCATATTGATCCGCATGCCAAAAATTTATTCCATCCAAATAACTGGTTAATCTCATATTTACACAGGTTTCCAATACCTTAGACATAGCTGGGAGCAGGGAAATAGTATAGTTGTTTAGTTCTGTGCTATCACCACCCTTAAATAAAGGGACAACCTTGGCCATTTTAAACAAACTTGGTACAGATGCAGTATTAAAAACAAGATTCATCAACTTACATAAAATAGGCGATATTTAATTTTTCAATTCCTTGATTGTATCAATGCCCAAGCTGTCAGTTCCAGGTGATTTTCCTGGTTTTAATTTGTTTATAACTGCAGTGACCTCCTCTGTAGTCACAGGTTCCCATTGATTTATATAGGCAGTAAAAGTTGGTTGGAGTTAAAGGGAAAAAATTGTTGGGGGGATGTTTTTTGCTAGTTCTGCAGCAATTCCGGAAAAGTATTGGTTTAGCAAGTTGGCAACATCCTGTAGGTTCTGCACAGTGTGTCCTTCATGTACATCTGCCTGTTTACATCAATAATATAATTTATTGGTAAAATTTCATCTTTATATTATAGGCGATTTCGCCTCAAGTTGATACCCCAGTTTGGTATGTCAAACAGGTACCAATCAATTTCGGATGGGAGAATGACAACTTTGGTAGGCGCTTTGGTCTGTCAAATGCTATACCGCGGTTTGACTGGGTAATGGAGGTTTGGTAGCTTCCTGTCACTTTCTGTCTCATGTCTAAATAAACATGTCAAAGTCAAAATGTACCAAACGTCCTCCCACTGAATTGACGTTTTCAATTAAAAGAGATGGACGATAAGTATGAAAACATTAATTTTCCCGCCAACATTTGCTTGCTTGTCAATGTCAATGTGTATTAGGCAATTCAACGACCTGTCCAAATGGCGTCTGGTTGGCAAACAATAAACAAAAAACATATGTTTTTCTTTGGCAGGATTAAGCCTAGTACTCATAACAGCGAAATTCGCTCTTTTTTGAGATTGCTTCGACAATTTGACGTTTTATGCATGAATCAAACGTCAAATTATCCAATCAATGTCAAAAAAGGGTGAATTTCGCGGTTATGAGTACTAGGCTTTATCAATCTGATACTTTTCTGACATCGTTGACATGTAACAACCCGTATTCTAACCTCATAAAAATTTCAAAATGCCGGCTGGTTGGCAAAAGTCACGTGGTTTGGATTCCCTAATTGGCTGGTTAGCAATCCCTTCGTTTTTATTCGAATCGGCGACTTCACCGATGAGTTAGCTATCTTTGTTAAGTGAATGGAAAATGACAATGACCGACATAGAATGATGGATCCATCGGTAAAATTTGATATGAATAAAAACGCAGGGTTTGAAATTGGAAAAAAAATGTCACAAAATGTGGGAAAGGGGAAAGTCACTGCTTTATTCGCAGAACTTCGCTTTGGAGACGGTGGTGGATTCTTTTGGAAGAAAACAACTTCTGCCAACTAAACTTGGACGTGGATTACTTTGTATACTTGATGGGCCGTGGATTTCCCTTTCTTTTGCGGGTATCCTTTCTGATTTTATATATCCAAATTTTGACAAATGTAGGATTTGATGGAAACTTATGGAAAAACACGTCCGCCACTGAATAGGAATTATTTTTATGAACAGGGACACTACACACAATCACCATTGTTAAGAAAAAATCTTGAAAAAAACGAGGAAATAATAGTTTCTTTTAAAAGTCTTGTCTAAAAACCACTATCAACGGCTGTCAACCATTGTTTTCATGCCCTTTTGGCGTCTGACAGTTTGATGCCAGAGAGAGACGCTTCTAAATTGAAAAGGTCAATTCGGATGAGATCGTAAAGCTACGTCACTCACGTACCAATTGAGGGGTTTCTGGGAAAAACAACATTTGTCAAAAAGAAAAAAATGTGGCAAATTGAACAAAAACTGAAGTGTTGTTTTTATGGGAAACATATGTTGACTAATGTCATTCCTATGGAACCGAAGATTATTTAAACGCAGCATTGAAACATCTAGAACGCAACAGCGTTGCCAACTCAATTTCAACAAAAAGTGACTAATTTTGGTTTTCCCGGAAACCCCTCAATTGGTTAACCATTCGCCTACCAAACAGCAGATGAAAATCTGGGGCGAAATCGCCTTAAGTAAGTCGAGGAAATAAAGATCCCAGAAAGTTTACCAAAATATATGTATCATACCAAAAGAATATCATTATCTTTGCCATTTCAATCATCATTATCAAGAAACTTTTGTTTATGAAATAAGACAACATTTTTATGTAGGTATCTACTTAACTAAAAGAAATAACTCTTCTACCTGAAAAATAGCTGGAAAGTGGGTTATTCAAATTCCTAATTGTAGGTACCCATCAAAAATTGGATGAAAGGCAAACCACAAAGTTAATTTCTTTATTATTATTCATACATATTTATTTCTTTTATATTTTAGGACTTTGAGTGATTATTCCTAAATTAGGTACCTACTATAAAAGATCACCACAAGAAAACTCCGAAAAGGTTTAGTCAGGTAATCGTAAATCAGTCGAGTTTCTTAAGAGTTCTTTTAAATTGAGTCTGTGTAATAACATATTTCTATAGGCAATCACTTAAAACTGTCTGTATTTAATTCTAACTTAAGAAGGGGAAATTGATGAGAATCCCAATTTCTGGGAAAATAAAATCTCCAAATACCTATGTTGATGCATGTTGACGTCAATTAATGGCCTTTATCATATACAGGTTCTTTTTCACAGACAATGCCCGTATGCACCGTTTCATCGTTAGGAAAGGCTTAGCAAAGTTATTCCTAGAGTTGAGAAATAATTTGGAATGCACCGTCAACAAATTTTGTTTTCTTAGCTAAGAACCTGATAGAATTTGCAACATTGCAATTTTTTGGTGACTTTTGATTTTTTGTCAGTTTTTACAGGTTTTTACAGCTCGACTTTGACAGTTCTGATTAGTTCGTTGTTCGTTGGTTAAAAATTTAAAAATTGTTCACTTTTCGCGTATTTTGTAATGTATCTATTTGTTATTTCGTGTTTATAAAGCTGTAAAATATTCTAAACCGTTCTTTGTTTTATGTTTCTCGAGGTGTTTTTGAAGGCAAGGCTTGTTTCAAATATGAATGATACAAAACAGTCTGAATTTAATTTTTCACCAAACGAAAAACAACTGTTCATTTCCAGAATAAGCAAATATGCTAATATAATTGAAAATAGGAAGACAATCCTTGCAAGACGGTGAGTTTTCTCAACCTGAATTGCCGAAAAAAAGACAAACCATCCATTGACTGGAAATAATTTTCTCCATTAAAAGTTAAAGCTAAAAACTCTTGGAAACCCATAATCGAAAATATCTCAAAATATCAAAATCGTCTTCAACTAGCATGTCGAACTCCATTTTTTCGTATAGCAAAGGATGAAAAATCTTGTTCAATAGTTGTTTTGTTACACGACACTCGTCACACTCGTCAACAAACCTAACCGGTTCTAACCTCAGAATCGCAATAAGGACAGATTTTTATTTCTTAAGTCGATGATTTCGATGACTGAACTTTAAGAAGAACTTGAGCAGATTTAATTGGCGGTGCATACGAAATTTAAAACTTAAGTTGAAAGGAAAACTAAGAATAGAAAAAAGTGAACGGTGCATACGGGCAATAGTATACTTAAGTTGGCAATTTATGATTTTTCTCCTATCAACCCTAATTCTCATCCATACGGAATTATATGATAAATGCAAACACCGCGCGCCTTTTTTTGGCAATTTCATCATTTCGAAATAAGCTCTGTATCCTGGCAAGTCAAAAGTCTATCAGGCATTGAATAATGTAAGATGTAGCCAAGCAAGTCTCCATTACTAAATCGAAGATATGGTATAATATTGTAATAGAGATTTCAAACTCATCAACTTTCGACAAAATAGAACTCAGGTTAGTGTAATTCGTCTTTTTCTGGTACTTACGACTTTGAAGTTTGGATGATAATTCTTGGTAGTATACCGTGTGAAAGGAATACAACTCTTATATTGTCCAAATTATCATTATTTTCAGAGCCCCCTGAGAACTATATTTTGCGTACGGCCCTGAAAACCAATTAGGTAAATAGGTAGTAGATACAATGGTAGTAGGTACCGAGACAAATTAGCCTACTCAAAACAAATTTCAGATTAGAAAAGAGATATTTGATATAAATGACCCTTACCTAGTTGCTTTTAGTAGTTCGTTGAAGTCAATCGCTTCGAAGACACGAATCACGAATCATTTTAGTTCGAGTAAGATGTCGTGCTCTTTGTCATTAGAAAAATTTATCGGTAAAGTGGCTATAGTTACTGGTTCTTCTTCAGGGATTGGTAAAGCTATCGCTGAAGCTTTAGTTAAAAACGGTGTTAAAGTGGCAGGTTTAGCTAGAAGAGTAGAACGCATAGAAGAACATTCCAAACAACTTAGCGATGAAAAAGGAAAATTACATGCCTTCAAATGCGACGTTACCGATCAAGAAGAAATAATATCGACCGTCAAGGAAATTACAGAAAAACTGGGACCAATAGATATTTTAGTTAACAACGCTGGATTGGGTCGTGCTACCAACATTATAGATGGTGATATACAAAAATGGAGGACAATTTTGGATACAAATGTGCTCGCTGTTGCCATATTCATCAAAGAAGTTATCGCCAACATGAAACTACACAAAACCAAAGGTCATATCATTAACATAAACAGTATTCTCGGTCATCGCGTTATAGATTTGCCTGTGATAAATGTTTATCCGGCTAGTAAGCATGCGATCACAGCCTTAACGGAAACAGTAAGGTTGGAAATCAACCGAGAAAAACTGCCCATTAAAATTACTAGTTTGAGTCCTGGATATGTAAAAACAGAAATAATAATGTCAGAAGAATTTGCAAATGAGGCTAATGTTGAGGATCCTAAAACACTGCCTGGATTAGAGGCTCAGGATATTGCTGACGGTGCTCTGTATATTTTGTCTACTCCTGATCATGTGAATGTTAATGAATTAACTGTCAGTGTCCAGGGATATTAATTTTATTTTGTAGGAAAAAATTGTTTTATTGAAAAGTTAATAAATATACCTACATACCCAATTTATCAAATATTGTTTTATTATTCGAGTGAAGCTCTAATTAAACCAAATCATTAGCAACAGACTAAGTTTCGATGTTCGACGTTGAGATTTTTTTTCTGCAACAATAAAATTGATTTTTTCATTTTGTTGTTTTTTTATTGCGAAATATATGCCGCAAATCAATATTGCGGTTATTAGGATTCATGGAAGCCAATTTATGTAAGTACTTTGGTGAATTTTGGTAAATTCTAGAAAATCCTCTGTCGAACTCCGAAGTTGAAGTTCGTGTAGTTTGTTCAAAAGGATTTTCTCTAATTTGATCTTCTCGGTCTTTGACACTGGGATTTGGACTGATTTTATTTCGTTGAGGGTGACTGGATGACCGTGAAATATGTCCTTTTCATTTTTGTACACATATTTTGTCATTTTTATTGAACATTTTGACGGGACTGTGAAAATTGAAGTTACTTCGCTTTCTACGCAATCTGTTTAAATTTTTTGTTCTTCCAGAAATATTCCAATGTAGTGGGCGGAATCGATTTTATCCATCATGGCTTTTTGGATATGTAAGTACTTACTGGTACTTGTTGACATTGGTCCAAATTGTTTCTTAGTGTCAGTAGTGACGTGATACAATCAGGATTTTCGTGTATAGGTAGAAGTCGATTGTTTTTTGCAGAAATAGTTTGGTTTGAGGTCAATGCATTCTTCATTTTGGTATTGGTAATGGTCTATACTTAAGGTGAGGTAGGTCGAAGGTGGAATTATGATGGATTGATTTTTATTAGATACGGAGAAGAGGTGGTAATAATCAAAAGTATTTGAATGCACGAGAGGAAAATCCAGTGGAAACACGATTTTATTTTCTATCGCAAAAACATTATAGTTTCTACGTAGTAATTCATGTATTCGTTTTGTGAAAATAACAATTGTGTGTGGTGGTGAGAATTATGGAATTCTTTGACGATTTCTTTTAATTCTTTTTGTGAATAATGCTATGATGTAAGGTTTTTCAACTAGCAAAGCTTATGGCATTTTCTATATCATTTAGAAAATTTAGCATAGAGTACAAATTTGGGCGGATGAAATCTCGACGGAAAGCAGGTAAATGTCCCCAACCTCACCTGAAAATTCGGGTACAGGCCAACTGGGCACCAAACTCTTGAGGTCATAAACCTAGACCGGCCAACTCGACACCATCAAACGCAGGTAGTTTTCAAAGAGCCCCTAAGAAATAGGCCAACTGAGCACTCTATTGTCTAGAGGATAGGTCAACTGAGCACTCTATTGCTTAGGGGATTAATTTTGGCATACGTATTTTATGCCCCAAAATTGACAATTACATCTCAGAAAATTCAGCATTTCCTCCTTCGATGAGGGCTTCAAAGAGCAGTAATCTATTTTCAACAACTAACCCCTGCGAGTCACTTCATTCTCATTGCGCATCCTAATAGAGACCACCATTATTGAATATCAATGCTTGATTTATGTAAAAATTCAAAGTATTAATACCATTATTATTGTTAAAACTAAAAAAGTTAAACAAGCAGAATGTTTCTTAAATCAAAAAATCCTGGCACTCGATAGTAATGAATTAACCGAGTACGATTTTGTTAAATTAGTTTCACATATGTAGATACAAAATATAAAAAAACTTTTAAACGAATATTACCGCTTTTTTTGTTTGTACAAGAATAACAAGGCAATAGCATAGAATTTGTGATAGTAGGTATATAGTATAGGTATATGTCATGAGGCTCATAACACAACTAAACTGCTGGAACTTCGATACGCATAAAGAATTTTTTTTGCCTATTTTCGAAGTCAAATATCTCAGAAAGTTTAAGTATACGAGATATTTGATTGCGGTTTGAAGCATATTGGGGCGCATTGTTTGGTGTTCAAGGAAGGTATATGATATCATGCTGATGAACAGAGACATTATCTACAACATACAGGGTGGACAATAAAACAGTGCAAAGTTTAACAAATTTCAGGGCGTCGCCATTTCTTTTCATACATACTTCTGCTTTTTTTCTGGGTTTAAGAAGAATCAGTAGTTCAATGGTAAAAAACAACTGCAAGGGTTTTTGAATAAACCTCGTAGTTTTGCAGAAATTTCAGTTTAACTGAAAAACGAATTTCATCACCCTGATTCTTTGTCTCAGTTACTCAAAACAATTTTCTTCATTATTGTTGGTTCAACGTTTTCGTCTTTTTTTGTTTCTAGAAGATTTTATACAGGGTGAAAAAAAAAGTAAGTTTTTAATACTAATTATTGGGTGCTCCGTAAAGATAATTACGTCTCAGAGTAACTAGAGATAGTACGCGTCGTAACACGTAACATGTACTGCGACTAGGGGGCACAGTTTTCTCAGTCAATTGATGTGGCACCTACCTTTCTCTGCGTTATTGTATAACCATGCTGAGAATAAAATATAATTACATTATGTTTCCTAGGTGGAAAAGCTATTCTGTTCTCAGTGTTCTCGAGACACTGAGATATTTGGTGAATTATTAGCACATACCATGTCATAAGGGGGCTACTTATACAGGGGAGGTAAAAGGAACCGGAACGGTTGAATCTTTTCAAACCCACTTATGCTGCTTTCCCAAATTTCGTTGGAGGTTTCTGGGCCAACGAAATTGGACAATGATATAGGGCAAAGCTGGTAGATCTGGCAGCAGCGCCGATATCATTGAACCATTAAATTTTGTATGTCCGGAAACCTCCAGATAACAAAATTTGAGAATGCAGGTTTTTTAAACGGGTTTGAAAGAAATTCAACCGTTCCGGTACTTTTTACTACCCCGGTATAAATAGTCCCCCTTATGACATGACACGTGCTAATAATTAACCAAATATCTCAGCGTCTCGAGAACAGAATAGCTTTTTCACCTAAGAAACAAAATATATGTATAATCATATTCTGCTCTCAGAATGGTTATACAATAGGCAATTTTTCGCGAGGATAATCAAGCATAATCTGATTATGCTGGGTTATGTGATGTGTCAATGGGCCACTTTCACATATACTTTTTTTCCGAAAAAAAAACCTTCTTTTTGAAAAAAAATATATTCAAAAATGGAATTTTTAAACTGGCGCGACAACGCGAAACTGGACTGTGACGTCACAAACCAGAAAATCAACAAAAATGCGAGGATGCCAAATTTCTCATTAGTAAATCATTACACATTTCACTAGCTAGAAAATATTTTTGTCCGTTACTACATTATAAAAAAAATAAAGGATAGGTATAATTGTTATAAACTCATTTAAATTTCGCATTTCTACATATGGCAACAAGTACATCAAAATCGGCTTTAGCCAATCAGAGGGCGTTTTCAATCACGTGATTTTTCGTTTAAATTTTAAATTTTTATTTATTGATTTATTCAATAATCGGACTAAAATCTTGCAAAATATCGTTCATTCTCGGTTGCATGTTGCATTGATGTATCTGCGTCAAAAAATATCATAATTTGCCATATTCCTGACACGTGAAAGTGTCCCATTGTGTCATACTCCCACGCCATCCAATTTTGGGCCTGCGAGTGACGTCACTATCAGCAGCTTATCGTGATGACGTCACCCGCAGACCTCTATGGAATGCTTGCGATTCAGGCTGAGGTAGTGAGTTAATTTTTTCGTCGATTTTAAATGTAGAAAAGGTGATTTTCGGTATGTTCTCACAGAAGAAATTAAGTGTTCTTGATCTTCGAGTATCCCAGAATTTGATGGTGGGGGAGTTAGGGAAGTATAACACAATTATTGACACCTCACATAATCCAGCATAATCGATTATGCTTGATTATCCTCACGAAAAATTGCCTAATACAGCAGAGAAAGGTTGGTACCATATCCATTGACAAAGAGGACTGTGCCCCCTATGAATCGCAGTACATGTTACGTGTTTGGACGCGTACTATCTCTAGTTACTCTGAGGCGCAATAATTATCTTTATCTTGACGGACCACCCAATAATTAGTAGGTACTTATTAAAAACTTACTTTTTTTTTCACCCTGTATAATTTTTTTTTCGCCCTGTTCTCAAAACAAAAAAAGACGAAAACGTCGAACCAACAATAATGAAGAACACATTGTTTCGAGTAACTGAGACAAAAAATCAGGGTGATGGAAGTCGTTTTTCAGTTAAACTGAAATTTCTGCAAAACTACGAGGTTTATTCAAAAACCCTTCAAGTTGTTTTTTACCATTGAACTACTGATTCTTCTTAAACCCAGAAAAAAAGCAGAAGTATGTTTGAAAAGAAATGGCGACGCCCTGAAATTTATTAAACTTTGCACTGTTTTATTGTCCACCCTGTATGTTGTAGATAATGTCTCTGTTCATCAGCATGATACCATATACCTTCAACACCAAACAATGCGCCCCAATATGCTTCAAGCCGCAATCAAATATCTCCTATACTTTCTGAGATATTTGACTACAAAAATAGGCAAAATATTTCGTTATGCGTATCGAAGTTCCAGCAGTTTAGTTGTGTTATGGACTAGCTTATGAATTCATAACACAACTAGTGGTGTTATGGACAAGGTTATGAATTCATTACACAACTATTTTTGATGATTTGGACAAATGTCCAAGGTAAACCTGTAAAGGTAAAATGAAGGTATACAACGACTAATAAACGAAAATGATTGAAAAAAAAGTTCTTATTTTTCGCTTTGTAGATAAAAATTTGTACATCAAACGTGCGTTTAAACATGACTACAAAACTCGTGTGATTAGAATGACTACGGTCTTTCACACTCGTTATTGTAATCATGTTCATAAACGCACTTGTAATGTACATAAGTATGAAAAATTATTCATTTGAAATAAAGCTTTTCAAGATTAATTATTATGTGAGTTTTATCACCCAAACGTTTTCTAGAAACCTTCAGTTGGCGAGTTCAATAAAGTGGCGAGTTGGCCCAGGTAAAGTGTCGAATTGGCCGGTCTCTATTTAGTCTTAGTGTCCAGTTGGCCGGTCGGTCAAGGGCTTAAATTTTACCTAGGTACAATAAAGTGCCGAGTTGGCGTCCGTCCGAAAATTCGA